ACTTTCATTTTGCTCTGTAGGGCATCACTGAAGATCTTAAAGAGTGAAACCAGAAGGTGTTTGGAAACATTTTCAGGAGGAAAAGGGACCTGCTCAACAGCCTCAAGTCTCTGGAGCTCATTAACTGCAGAAACCCTACTAGAAGTTCAATGGCCAAAGAACAGGAAACAAGGGAGGACCTGGAAAACACCCTGTGCCAGGAAGAGCTACTCTGGATCCAAAAGTCTAGAACCAACTGGGTTGTGCTTCAGAGACCATAATAGAATTGAGTTGGTTAATGAAACCCTCCTGGCTCTGATTCCTAAAGTGAAAGGGCCTTGCTCCATGAATAAATTCAGACCTATTAGTCTATGTAATGTGGGGTACAAGGTGGTGGCTAAAAGGATTGCAAACAGGCTTAAGAACCTTATGCCTGATCTTGTTCATCCCAACCAGTCGAGCTTTGTGCCAAAACACCACATCACTGACAACATTATAATTTTGCAGGAGACTGTTCACTCTATTTCCAAGAAATCAGGACGGAATGGGAACATGCTGCTCAAAATCGACTTGGCCAAAGCCTATGACAGAATTTATTGGCATTTCCTAGAGGACACTCTGAAGGAATGATATGACCAAAGTACGCAGCTTTCCTACTTTTTATGGGTTTTTGAAGCTTTTCTTCAATGAACAAGAACTCGAACAAAAGATAATGATGGAACACGATCAAATAGATTCCAACTCGTGTGAAAGGCCAATTGGTATATGAAACCAATCAAACAATCATCCACTCGTGAATAAGGTCAATCGCTATTGGGTAGAAGATCGCCACAACTAGACGTGTTCTCTAGTTGATAAGAGACACGTGAAACTCCTGGAGCACTCTCAACAGAAGCTTGCACAAAGAACTAGTTCGTATGAACTTGTAACTTGAAAGTTGATTGATAATTGAATATTGGGAACAAAATTCGTAGGTCTTACACCCTCTATTTATAGAGGTCTCAAAACCATAAAACTAACCTAAAAGGAATAGGAAAACAAATCCCAAACTAACTGGGAAACATAATACTACTTAAATAAGGACTATAACTCGTTTTTATGACCAAAGGAAGCTCCTTAGCATCTAAATAATCTCCAAACACGTTTTTAATGCTTAAGGAAGCTCCTTAGTGGTTAAGCAATCTCTTTACTTGTCCTTTTCACATTTGGACGACTTGGGCAGCAAGGATGGACGTTTTGGGCTCCAAGAAGTGTTGTAGGCCCGATCCTTAATGCATTCTCCATTTTATCCATCAAGAATGCTCCTAGTTGGTCCTTAAATCGTCGAATATGAATCTTCATTTTTAGACCACGGGAATTAAATATCGCGCTAGTCGATATCGCATCAAGGAAGCTCATCTGCCTAATGATTGCATCTGTCTTATCATGGCTTGTGTCACCTCTACCAAGTTCCAGGTTCTTTGGAATGGTGGGGAGACTGAAAGTTTCAAGCCTTCCAGAGGTCTTCGACAAGGGTGCCCTTTATCTCCCTATCATTTTACCCTTTGCATTGAAAGACTTAGCCACTGCATCCTTAGTGAGGTTAAGAATGGCTACTGGAAACATATGAAACTTTTTGTAGGTGGTCCACCTCTCTCCCATCTGTTTTTTTGCAGATGACTTAGTGTTGTGTGCTGATGCTAACCAAAAACATGTCGATGTTGTTATGTCTTGTTTGGAAAGATTTTGTCTTGCTTCTGGTGAGCTCATTAGCAAGGAGAAATTCAGGGTGTTCTTCTCCAAGAACACGACTAGAGCTACTAGAGTTGAGGTGTGTTCTAGACTTGGTATTTAAGAAACTCAAGACTTAGGTAGATACCTTGGCATGCCAGTTATCCATGATAGAATTACCAAAAGTACCTACGACACCACTTGTGAACATCTTAATTACTATCATCAAAAGTATAGAAAAGAGCTTCCCAGCAGCGAAAAAGAAACAAAAATGTAATGTAATAGAAACTAGATTAGGATGTACCCAAACTTGTCGATGATTCAAGAATAACTTTTCTCGTCAAGATTTTGAGAAATAAATCTGAGCCTTTCTGTAATATGCAGATTGAACAACAAAACCAGCATAGAATAGAGATAAGAAAATCAGTGATGCTTGAATGAGAATCAAAAGCAGCATAGAATAGAAGATCTATGATCTTACCAATTACTAAGGACAATTTGCCTCTCCTTTCAACTTCAACTTTTGCTTCGAAAGCCTTTGATGTCTCTGGATATGTTAGGGTTCTGGATTTGACAAAGCTTAGCAATGAAGGCTCATATATAGTACCTGATGCATAGAGGAGAATTGAAGAGTCCATTTGATGATCTGAATGTGGAGATTGGAGAGAGAGATTCTGCAAGTTTCAAGAAAGAGCTCGAGCATGCAGAGGAGGATGAGCTCGATGGGTCTCACAAATGAGCGAACCGAAGAGCGTGGAGGCTGTAAGGATTTGGCTAATTGGTTGTTGGTGTTTAGCTTTAGTGTTGGCGTGTTACTGTGTTGAGGTATTGGGGAAGGAGGAAAATCAATGTGATGATTGATGAATGTGGAGTTCTCAAAGAGTTTGGGAGGGGAAGAGTCACTGTGAATGGCCTGTGATATACAAATGGTTGCTATATACGCCGGGTCAGATATATTTCGGGACGGATACGTATCCGTCACCATCCTTGTCCGCATATGCTTGTGGCGGGTTTTACCCGAATCCGGTCAATACAGATTTTATCCGCGTTGACCAGTTCGGGTTCGGACGATTATCCTAGTCCGTGGTTAAAGTTGCCACCCCTAGTGGCTGCAGATCTAAGGGTGGAGAATTAAAGTAATTTATTTTCTCTAGTTTTTTTTATTGGATCATATCTTCTTCATTCTAACTCGAATTTCAATTTTTTTTAACAGATGGAACGAGTTGGTTGTGCTCTACAAAATTATATCCATTTTCAATATTTTTTTGAGAAAAAAATTTCATATATCTCGTTACCAACTCCATACCATATGGTATCTCCTTCATTTTTTAGTCGTTTTCGGAAATTTTTGCACAGAATGAACGATTTAATCATTGATTTATTGGATTTCAAATTTTTCTGGGTGAAAAAATTTCATGCCTCTCGTTACCAACTCCATACTATAATATACCACCCTGGTATTGTGTGGTATTTTTCATACCATATGATATGCTCTTATTTAATACCAGTCAATACCATATGGTATAATCAATACCATATGTTATAGATTGATAATAAGTTAATAACTGGCAAAAAAATTTTGTTCCAAAAAATATCAAAGTGGATATCATTTTGAAGAGCACAATTAATTAGATCTAACTGTACAAAAAAATTTAATTCCGAGTTAAAACGAGTGAGAAATCGTCCGTTAAAGATTAAGGGAATGAAAATTAATAGTTTTTCGAGTAGAGAAAAAGAGGCGCTGATGTGCAAATTCTTATTGATTTATGCATGAAGTTATAGCACCACAAGATTACTCACGAGATCTCCTCCTGAGATTACCGAGTTATGCAGCAAAATCCAGATGAAGGCTTTGCATATGTACGTGGGCGAGCTCAGGTTCCTTTGCTTTTGCTAGTTTCTGTTGGGATGAATAGCTTTGAAAAGCTATAAATGAAATTCCTAATTAATTATCCAGTATTTTCCCCATAATACGAAAATAAGATGGATAATTAATAAAAGGAATATTATGAACATAATTAGGAATAATTATCTTAATATATTATATTTTAATTATGGGAGTATTTATCTCCCTAATTAAAATGTGACTTATTCCCAAAGAAAGAGGGAATATTCTGGGTTTTCTGCTCCTATAAATAGGAGACGTCCCAGTCCCTCTAAACATACATCAGAGAGCAGAAACACGAGATAGAGAGTGAGTTCATAGAGCTCCGATTTTCGCACAAAACCGATGAGCAACAAAATTCGAATGGTTGTTTTATCCTTGAGGCGATCGGCTGATAGTTTGTCGTGCGCACCGAAGGCATTGCTGCAAACGTCTTAAAGAGAGCAACCTAGTCCGCGACTCAACCAGATCGGTAACCCTATTTTTCTGTTCGGTTTCTAACCATTTTAAAACGTTCGGTTACTGTCATGTGTACCGAACAGGTCGATTGCCGGATCTGGTTCAAATCGGACGCAAAGTACCAGCGAATGGTTGCCACATTATTGGGTACTTTCTGAATCGCTCTTCCGGACGGCTCATTCGATTTGCTTCTCCTCATCTACAGAAAGAACCGAAGGAATACGACAATGGCAATTTGAGGGAGCAATTTTGTGACCGAAATTCTGTGTAGTAACTTTGTGCCCTCAAACTCGTCTCTTACTAATTTAGTTTCTCTTGTCCAATTAATTTTCCCTGGACAATTAACTGATTTGTCCATAAGTCCCACTCGCATGATGGAAACTTTGTGCTTGTTGCGGTGGGGAATGTGGAATTGGAAAAAAGGAAGGGTATTTGGTTCTTTTGGGGTTTTTCACTTTTTCTCCGCAGGGTCTCCGTGGCCATTTTGCCTGCGGTCCGAATCGGAAGCTGCCGCGGTGGTAGTGCAGTCCATTCAATCATGGTGGGTCAGCCGCAGCAATGGGATTTGCTCCTCCGTGTCCATGACCTGGAAGCTGAATGGGTCTAGCCTTCAGTTAACCGTTCAATTGCGGAAATCGAGCGAGGAGAGAAGCGAGGAGACCGCCTTGGGCTAATCTGCCGTTGGGCGTGGCCGGATGGGAATTTGCGGTTCTGTAATGTGCCCTGTCTTCCAATCTTTCGATTGGTGGCTGAGGCACACCCAATTTGCAGCGTGGGATTGACAACGGTTATGCTGGTTTATTTTATTTATCTATTCTTCCTTTTTAACTTCTGTGACTTGTGACTTATCCTCTTTTGTTTTTTGCTGAGGGATAACACCATTTGGGGGAAGTTAAAAGCTACCAGAAAGCCCACGAATTATATCCATGATATAAATGGGACGCTTAGCTTGATAAGACTGTCCCGATATGAAGTAGACAAATGTAGCACGGAATTAGCTCATTGAGCCGAGCATAGCATGAAGATGAAAGAACTAGGAGGACAAGATCTCCAAATAAACTATTGTGAAAGGTGCTCTCTCTGTCAGCAAATTTTTCAAGAGAAGCTACGCTTGGTGCTAGCTATTCTTTGTGAAACCAGAAAGTAATGATTTCTCTGAAGTGAGGTAAGAGCTGAAACCTTTCTGTGGGTCATTAATGAATGATAAATTGGAAGTTGTGTCATACACGGTGAATTCTAAAAAGAAAGCTAAAACTGATTCATGAATAAGTTGACATTGACATATATTACGTATATCGATGATTAGAGCATAAATTGAATACATGCTATGGAAAGAATGATTTTGTCTAAATGTTTGCATTGGAGAATATATGGGAATAGAATGGGTTTATTGCCCATAATAACGATATTGTAAGTACTATTATCAGTACTACACGAACCACTTAGGCTGCTCTGAAACATCAAAGTTTCAAGAATGAGAGCAGCAAACCGAACTAGATCCATGCCAAATAGAATGGTACCCTTTGTGGTAACCATAAGATTGCCACCCAATCCTCTAAGAATGACGCTATGTTTCTTAGTTATTTGTGAGAAACTAGGTCATAAGACACGAAAGTGTAAGAACAAGTTTATGTGATTATCCATGGTATGTTTTAGCAAATTGGTGCTATTTTAGGGCTCGCTAACCTGAGAATGGTTGAAAAACCATTACTGCCTAGTGCCATGAGTTTGATATGTGACAGGTGGAGAAAGCACGAAAAAGGAGCGAGTGCATAAGCAATAAATCGGGCTCGAACTACTGGTGGACTAATCACTTGGGCTAGGAGGATTATTTTTGGGCCGGGCCTATTATTGAAGGAGCTTGCGGCAAAAATTAATGGAAGGAACTAAAAGGCCGGCTCTTTTGTCTAATTGCTGGGGACGGAATCAATTACTAAAAAGAAGATTGGGCCAATTTCTAGGGATTAAAATGGAGTTGGACACGCAAGAAAGGGGATAGGCAATTAATTGGTGGCTTTTGTTGTTTGGAACGGATTTTTCTTTGGAGAGAGAACCGAGGGGAATTATTATAAGTGAAGGAAAGGCTTGGAACGGATTCTCGGGGAGAAAAAGAAGAAAAGCAGCGGCGCAGCGCAAGCCAGGGATCGCGGAGAAGCAGCTGGCGCGGGTGATCGAGTGCAGGGCAGGGAAGAAAATTTCAGTATTTGTTTTTCCTTTGCTTTGATTCGTGACATGATAATTAAGAACATGTTTTATCTCAATTTCGTCATGAACTAAACCCCAATTTCTGGGGGAAACACCATAGGATGTAGCTATTTCTATATTTGATGGATTGATTCATATTTCTTTTCTTCCAATCTCTATTGCATGAAATTGCTTAATGCTTTGTGTTGACTGGCCACCAATACAATGATTTGTAGTTAATTAGGTTATTAGCGACAGTGAAACCCTAATAACTGAACATATTTCATGTGACATAGTAACTTATCGAAGCGACAGTGGATTAAATAAGGTACTATGCGGTCTTAAATAGGATATTGGTCTTCAGACTAAATAATTAGGTCATTGAGCTACGACAGTAGGATTTGATTTAATTGTTTAGTACGTAGTAATTCCCGACAGGGATACTAGCACATTCGTGATATCCTGCTTGTAGAGGTATGGATTAAATTGATTGGAATATGTGAATTAATCTGGATAGGATAGGTAGTGAATCCCGGTGTTTCTCCCAGAGCTTTCTCACACTGAATTTTCTCCCAACAACTTTAATTTGCTTATTTTGTTTAATTATTAGCTAGTAGTTTCATCACTCAAACCATTTTCACCTATAGTTTGCTCTATTAAATCGGTAAATCTTAAGGTTGTACCAGTCCCTGAGAGACGATACCCGGACTTTCCGGATTACTACGAGATAGGATTAAGGCATATACGCTTTTGCCCTCTCAAGTTTTTGGCGCCGTTGCCGAGGACTGCCATACCTTATTTTTGTTGATTTTTGTGAGTAAACTATTTTGATCTGGGTGTTAGTGTGCAGATGAATTTTTCATGTTTATCCTCCTCGTGCATGCCAAGGAGGACGACTGGCAATTTACTGCCACTAGATCCCGAGATCGAGAGGACCTGCCGACAGAACAGGAAGCAGGTCAAGTTAGGGAAGCAGCCTACCACATCAACAACTCCTAGGCCTTCCCTAACTCAGAATCGTCAACAGGAGGAACCACTACCTGCTTCAGCACTTCCAGCTGACGATGCAGAAGTGCGGGTGGAGAAGGAAGCCCCTGCTCCCAAGCCACAACCAGTGGTTAAGGAGCATGTACCCCAGCTTCCCTTCCCCACTCGACTACACAAAGACAAGTTGGAGACTGAGTTTGCCAATTTTATGGCAATGTTGAAGCAGCTCAACATCAGCATACCGTTTGTGGAGGCACTGTCGAAGATGCCCAAGTACGCGAAGTTCATGAAAGATCTCCTCACCAACAAGAAGAAACTTGGGGATCTTTCGACAGTGATGTTCAGTGAGGAGTGTTCTGCTATCCTGCAGAACAAGCTGCCCGAAAAGCGCAAGGATCCAGGGAGTTTTACTATCCCTCTTACTATTGGCAGCATGCATGTAGGCAAGTCCTTGGCGGACCTAGGCGCTAGCATAAATGTCATGCCATATAAGTTGTATAAAAAGCTAGACCTAGGTGAACTTAGCCCTACTAGGATGAGCATTCAGCTAGCTGATCGTTCCATTGTGCATCCTAGGGGAATCATATAGGATCTGCTTGTTAAAGTAGGTGCATTCACATATCCTGTTGATTTTGTTATTCTTGATATACATGAGAATGCATCACACTGGTTCCAAAACCTAACACCCCGTTCCATCACAACATGGGGTCAGCTTGAGAAGACCTTTTTGGATAAGTACTTTCCTCCTGCCAAGGCTATGAAGAGGCAAGAGGAAATTGTCACTTTTAAACAAGCTGAAGACGAAAGTCTGACCGAGGCATGGGAGCGCTATAAGGAGCTTCTAATTAGATGCCCGAGCCACGGTCTGGAAGATTGGAACGTGATCTCCATTTTCTTCAATGGAATCAGAAGGGAGTTCCGGGATGCCCTGAATAATGCTTCTAGAAATGGTTTCACAAGCATGGAGGCACCAGCAGCATATGATCTAGTAGAGAAGATCTGTTCAAAAGCCACTGAATGGGGTAGTGAGACCAGTATTCGAAGAAGAGGGGGCTTGCATGAGCTAGACAGAGTTGCAAGTTTAGAAGCAAAGATTGATGCTAAGCTGGATTCCAAGTTCGATGCACACGAACGAAGGCTGGCTAAGATGGCTCTTGGTAGACAGGAGGAGGTTGCTTTGTGCGAATTATGTGAAGGTGCTCATCATAGGGATCTATGTCCACGGGTAGCTGATCAGTTAGAAGATGTGCACTATATCAACAATCAGCAAAATCAAGGCCAGGGTGGTATGTATTCAAATACCTACAACTCGCAATGGAGGAAGCATCCTAACTTTTCCTGGGCAAACAACAACCCAGCTAGTGCTCGCAACATTGCTCCTCCAGGCCTGCAGAAACAACAACCTCAACCAGAGAAGAAACCACAACTTGAAGAATTGCTTCTGGCTCACATGCAGAAAACCGACAATAATCTGAAGGGTCTTGATCAATTTGTCACTCAACAGCTAGTCATCAACAATAATATGCAATCATCTATGCTAGCTATGGAGAGGCAAATAGGCCAGATGGCTCAAACTTTGGCAGATATTCAAGGTAGGATTCCCGGGACTTTACCAGCAAATACTGAGAGGAATCCGAAGGACGCCATGGTTGTAGCCGTCACCTTGAGGAGTGGAAAGGCCTTGGAGGATCTAGAGAGTTCAAAGAAGTCAACAAAATCTGAAAAAGAAGGAGTTGCAGAGGTAGAGGATGAAGAAAGTGCAAAAGCTGAAAAATCTGACTTGCACAGGCAAACTGCATGCAATCTGCCTGTGCAAAAGCATGCTGCCCGTGTACCTCAAAAAGTGGAAAAATTGAAGAACGAAGAGGTAAAGCCTTATGAACCTCCCGCACCATTCCCTCAAAGGTTAATGAAGCCCATGGAAGACCCAAACTTCAAGAAATTTGTGAATATCTTCAAGCAACTTCATATCAACATACCGTTGGCGGAGGCACTTGAACAGATGCCTACATATGCTAAATTCTTAAGGGAGTTGCTGACGAAGAAGCGCAAATGGGCTGATCTGGAGAAGGTAACCCTTACTTCTGAATGTAGTGCTGTGATTCAGAATAAATTACCAGAAAAGAGGGATGATCCGGGCAGCTTCACCATTCCATGTGTCATTGGAGGTACAGAATTCAATAAATCACTTTGTGATCTTGGAGCAGGAATTAATTTGATGCCATACTCAGTATACAAGAAATTGGGCTTGGGTGATGTTCTTAAGCCTACTCGGATCACACTCCAATTGGCTGATCGATCAGTGAAAATTCCAAAGGGAGTGGTGGAGAATGTATTAGTGAAGGTGGGGAAGTTTATTCTCCCTACAGGTTTTGTGATTCTTGAGATGGAAGAAGATCAGGGAGTGCCTCCAATTCTCGGCAGACCTTTTCTAGCCACTGGTGATGCACTCATCGATGTTGGTAGAGGCAAGTTGACATTCCGAGTAGGTAAGGAGGAGGAAATTTTTAATGTCTTTCAAGTTGATCATAATCACGATGCATTTGATGACTTTGAAAGTGGAGCTCGAGAAAGGAAAAATTCCTCTTCCTATGATAGTGGACCACCCAAAGAACGATCACATGTCCTATCAGCTCAGATTCTGAAATCAAAGCAAGGACAGAAATCCTTGCCAGATCACCTCAAGTATAGATATTTGGGTAAGGATTTCAATCTTCCTGTTATTATTCCTTGTTCACTGACATTGAAACAGGAAGAGTACTTGCTTGAGGCACTGCAATACCACCTGCGCCTCACTAAAGGGTCCAACATGCCAGCTAAGAAGGTCATACCGAATTTTCGCACACCTGGCCCTGCCGAGGTGACTCATATGTTGGATGGAGGCTATGCATTCTATCATTGCTCGGGAGGGTATGCTGGATACCTTTCCATACCCATTGGTTGAAAGCTCCATGAACGTCAGGCTGAGGACGTTAAACAAGCGCTTCTTGGGAGGTAACCCAAGGTAAGTTTTCTTTTCTTTATTTTTCTTTTTAGTTGTGTCAAACCCGTGCATGTTTAGATTAAGAGTTGAACATTAGGGACAATATTCCATCCTGAGTGTGGGGTGGTGAGTCTTAGTGTTGTTTGTCCCTGTTGCATGTGGTAAAAAAAAAAGTAAAAAAACAAAAAAAAATTGCCATTAGGTTGAGCACAGCCAAACTGCATGCAATTTGCCTGTGCAAAAAGCAGTCTGCCTGTGCCAAGCTAATGGCCAAAAAACACCTAAAAATCAAAAAAAAAAATCAAAACCTTGTACTCTTGTGGTAACATGATGTAAATGACCGTGATGCTTTGAAAATGAGTTTGTGCTTAAATGAAATCATCAAAATCACCCCACTAGTGTTGAATTGCAAAGTTCTTCACGATGAGCTTGAATGTTTTTACTGACTTGATATGCTTTGAATGAGCAAACTTTTTTAGCAACATTCTCTTTTGTGAAGATAGTGTAATGACTTTTGGTGAAGTAGTTAGGTGGAGAACATTGACCATTCGACATGTTTGGATACCGTGCTTACTTGCATCAATTGTGAGCTTTTGATGTTGCAACGAGTCTCTCTGTTTTGATGGTTTTATGATGGGGTGAACTGTATCTTCATAAAAGAAAACACTTCCTGACAAGTAAAATATAAGAAAGTTTCCATAACAATTAAAGTGTGGGTAAAAATGCCAAAATCGTGTGAGGCAATCACTCATTGCACATGGGGATGAGGAAAGATTCAATTGAGAATCGGTTCGTGACCGTACGATGTTGCTTATCAAGTACGATCCCCAGTATAGTGAAGTGCCATTAGAGGATGCAATGACCCTCCACACGGACTGAGGAAAAGGAGTTAAAAGAAGCCCTTATGCGAGTGCTAAGAAGCAGAAATTGCTCTTGCTCGGTCACCGGTAGTAAGAAACAAATCCCACTTGTACTAAATACGACTTCTCGACAAGCAAAAGCAGAAAGAGAGAAATCCTCTCCTTGTCATAAAAGGTAGTGATGTACTTAAAGTTAAAATCATGTTTGCGAAAGGCTTCCCCCATTAGTTTTTTAGACTCATGCTTTGTTAATTGCTTATGATTGGTGTGAGTAAGCTAGATTGTCCTCACGAGATATGCACCTCACTGATGTGGTTAGATTCTCCTAATAACTGTTGCAACATAAGTTGTTAACCACCCACAACCGACGATCGAAATTGATTGTTGCTATTTGAGTTTTTGATGGATTTGAGTCAGTCAATGGTTAAGGGTTGCACAGACCTTGAGTGTGGGGTGAAAGGTATGATCATTAAAGCACAACTTATCCGTTGAGAAAGAAACTACTGATTACAACAAGAGTACAAGGAAATTTTGTATTTTGCTTTGAGTGTTTGATTAGTGAGTCTGTGGTGTGTCATTGTTATGGTTAGTTATGTGTTTGTGTCTTTTGAGTCGTTGCTTAGGGACAAGCAACAATTGAGTGTGGGGTTGTGATATTCGGCTTTAACATATTGAATTCTTGGACTTTATGTGATTATCCATGGTATGTTTTAGCAAATTGGTGCTATTTTAGGGCTCGCTAACCCGAGAATGGTTGAAAAACCATTACTGCCTAGTGCCATGAGTTTGATATGTGACAGGTGGAGAAAGCACGAAAAAGGAGCGAGTGCATAAGCAATAAATCGGGCTCGAACTACTGGTGGACTAATCACTTGGTCTAGGAGGATTATTTTTGGGTCCGGCCTATTATTGAAGGAGCTTGCGGCAAAAATTAATGGAAGGAACTAAAAGGCCGACTCTTTTGTCTAATTGCTAGGGACGTAATCAATTACTAAAAAGAAGATTGGGCCAATTTCTGGGGATTAAGATGGAGTTGGACACGCAAGAAAGGGGATAGGCAATTAATTGGCGGCTTTTGTTGTTTGGAACGGATTTTTCTTTGGAGAGAGAACCGAGGGGAATTATTATAAGGGAAGGAAAGGCTTGGAACGGATTCTCGGGGGAGAAAAAGAAGAAAAGCAGCGGCGCAGTGCAAGCCAGGGATCACGGAGAAGCAGCTGGCGCGGGCGATCGAGTGCAGGGCAGGGAAGAAAATTTCAGTATTTGTTTTTCCTTTGCTTTGATTCGTGACATGATAATTAAGAACATGTTTTATCTCAATTTCGTCATGAACTAAACCCCAATTTCTGGGGGAAACACCATAGGATGTAGCTATTTCTATATTTGATGGATTGATTCATATTTCTTTTCTTCCAATCTCTATTGCATGAAATTGCTTAATGCTTCGTGTTGACTGGCCACCAATACAATGATTTGTAGTTAATTAGGTTATTAGCGATTGTGAAACCCTAATAACTAAACATATTCCATGTGACATAGTAACTTATCGAAGCGACAGTAGATTAAATATGGTACTATGCGGTCTTAAATAGGATATCGGTCTTCAGACTAAATAATTAGGTCATTGAGCTACGACAGTAGGATTTGGTTTAATTGTTTAGTACGTAGTAGTTCCCGACAGGGATAGCTAGCACATTCGTGATATCCTGGCTGTAGAGGTATGGATTAAATTGATTGGAATATGTGAATTAATCTGGATAGGATAGGTAGTGAATCCCGGTGTTTCTCCCAGAGCTTT